TCCTGAGGATTTAAGCTCTGCCTGCTCTTCTAGAGCTGGACTTCAACTCCCTGACTTAAATAGGCAACTTCTGAACAAAGGTCATCTATCTGCTGTTCCATATCCTGAAATTAACATCCCTTCCTTTGAGGATCAAATGCCACTCATCCTCCAAGATTTGCTTCAGTATCGGGTTCCTGGTGACCTTCTTGTCTCTGCTCTGATTCTTGCTGGCCCCACGCTATGTTATTCCCTTGTCTGGGAAGCATCTACTGTTTCTGCCACTCCTACTACCACTGACACATGACGCTGTGAATAGTGGATCTATGTCCTTTATACGCTCATGAACTCTTCAGAGAAAAAGAATCCCAACAAAACACACACATACCCTGGAGTGTGACTGTTTGAATGTAAATCCTAGTTGTGCCATTTTTTCTGCCATTTTTCACCATGTTGCCTTTGTCAACTTATTTCAATTCACTGGTAAATAGGAATACCACTTATTTCATAGGGTTATAATGAGAAGTAAGGGCCTATTTTGTATGCTCTGTGCTATGTGAGTTACATTTATTATCTCATAAACTTTGAAGAAGTTAATTTGTGTGTGAGGCTTCCCCAGTGGCCCCATCAAGATCCAACCTTGCCAGCCTGCACTTACCAGAAACACCTGTCAAGGAATCCTAACACACACCTGTTACAATCCTCCAGTTTAGATTCACTGACCCACCTTATACTGAACAAACAGGACCTGCTAGCCTTGAGAGGAGATCCCTGGCCTCCTAACTAATCATGCTATTGCCATATTGTCTCTTCTAATTCTCTAGAAGACTTGCTCTTGCCCACAGTTAGTGAAGGCACTATTATTTTTGTCATTTGATGACTGAAAACAAATACAGACATGTATGATGACCACATCTTATGGATGAGGAAACTCCATCTCTGAGAGGGCAAGCAGTTTTGTTTAAGGCCTAACAGCCAACATGTGGTGGAACCAGGATTTGAGCTGAAGCTTAGATGATCAAAAGCACAGTCGCCATTTTAGCATCTTTAAGCAGAGTGGGTGCATAATAAATATGTGTTGAATCACTCTATTAGTAATCTACTTCTAAATTATATTAAAATATTTCTTACTGATAAGAGAAAATTATGTTAAATTCACTTAATATGCTATCCATGGATACAGAAGTTAGTGGCCTATAACCATCTTTAGAAGTAAAATATGTGTTAAAAAAGAGGCTAGTTTAAAAGGTGGTACCAGATTTCTGCTAAGTCCTGCTCTCTCTCTCTCTCTCTCTCACACATACCAGATCACCAGCTGAAAGCTAAGTGTATAAATAATAGTTTGCATTTTATGCTAATCTTCCATCAATGCTGCCCATTTATGGAAGGTCTGTACTGTATCCCGTAACTTGTTGGCCTTTTCTATAAAATATATTTTCCTTCATTTCATTAAAATCCAAACCATGCAGATATTAATGATTAAAGTATTTTTAAAAATTAAGTACACTTAATAAAGTTTTTTAAAAAAATTTGTATCCCTTAAACAAAGTCCATCAGATAAGCCTTGGTAGGGAATTAACACAAACCTTATTTCTACACCTTAGGCAAGATTCTGGGATACATCTGTACGAGACACAGTATCAGGTCAAGTCAAGCTTGATGCTCACCTACAGTTTCCTAGTACCAGGATACAACAGTGCTCCAGTTACACAAGGATAGGTGAATGATTTTCAAACACTTATCTTGAAGTTCTACAAATACTGTACACTAAGGTGTGCCTTCCCTGCAAGACATGCTATCAACTGGTGATTTTTAAGGTATTTTCCTCTAATAAGTACAGGTGAAAAAAAAAGAGAGAAATATGTATTATTTATGATCATTTTACTACCATGTTGACTAATAATAATTACTTTGCCTTTATAAAAATACTTCATACTTTTGTGGAGCATTTATACTAAAGTAGTGATAGAAAAATATGTTTGTGAGTTTTCAGTATGTTGGAAATGACACCTAATTTCATAAGAAGTAATAATCATTTGAGGAGAGTCCTAAAGCTACAAAAAGATTTAGGGACTTGCCTATCAAATGCTTCAAAATTCCTAAATAGAATTTTTGCATTACATGACTCACATTAAAAATGTTTTGTTGATACTTTTTCTTTAAACTTTGGAAGACACAGTCTTCACATTGTACATGTTCTCTGAACAAAAGGGGACTACTTTTGAGCATAGTTGAATATAGTTATTTAAATACAAATGTAAAACATTTTTCGACGGACCTCTGGGTCGGTGTAATTGTTATTGGTTCCACAGAGTGTTCAAGTGCACACTCTGCTCCCCCAGATGGCAGGTCCGCGGGCCTCTGACAGTGTGACACACGGGGGGCTCTTGTTGCTCCTTTACTCAGTTCTTCCAAGAGGAGAGGAGGGATTTAATCTGATTGAGTTTGGAAGGAGATAATGGCATCCAGAGGGGGGTCCTTCCTCTTTGGGGAGCAGCTATCTTTGGGGAATACCTGGTTACTCTGTTCCTCTCAGCTTTCAGTTACACCTGGGGGAATTCTGCCACTGCTGATGAGAGCTCTGGCTGTGACGGCCTGGTAACTTGGCCTGAGTCAGGAGTCCCTGGGGGAAGCTCATCTGCGCTAGACACATGCCATGCTCTGTTATCCCTTTCATCAGAAGGGAGGGTGATACGCTAGACTCCTGTCTGTCTTACTTTTACTTCCTTCTGAGCTGATTCAGAACTTGGGTGGAGAAAAAGGGTGTTTTTATTAAGCTCTTTCAAACCCCAAATGATTGAGCATACTTTACTCCTTTTATCTGCTGCAGTCTTCCAAGATGGGGCTCTCTCCCCTATCTGCAGACATGAGGAACATAAGACAAAGATGATGAAATGAATTTTATAAAACCACTGTGCATGAGTCTCATGTTCAAAGCAAGTCCAGTTGACTAAATTGCCCCCTTTGAAGCAAAAAAAAACCCAAAACAAACAAACAAAAAAAACCCAGCCATTGAGTTTGGAAGGAGGTAATGGCATTTACGGGGGGGCCCTTCCTCTTTGGGGTGCAGCTATCTTTTGGGAGTCACACATATATACACACACATATATCTTTATATTATACATAAGTTTATATTATATAGTTTTATATTTCTGTGTACACATCTATGTGAGTATATATAATATACCTGCACATATAACATTTAATATATAGGTAATAATTTATTCCAATAATCATTACTATGGTATAGTAAGAAATAAATATTTAGTCTTTGTTATCTGTTCTTGCACACAACTCTCTAAGAGTTGGGGTGTCCAGACTGAAGACTGTCTTTGATAAACTAATGAGTGATTGGCAGCTGGGACTCCTAGCAAACCAGCATGGAAGCTGACAGTCAGAAAGACCAAGGTGAGATCAGAGGGTTGGAACTTTCAGCCCCTCCCCTTAAGCCTCCTGGAAGGAGGAGGGGCTGGAAATACAGCTAATCGCCAGTGTCCATCATGACTATGTAATGAAACTTCTACAAGAACTCCTATGCAGCAGGGCGTAGAGAGCTGTGAGCTGGTGCACACTGAGGTGTGGGGAGCACAGCACCCAGAGAAAGCGCAGCAGCTCCATGCCCCTCCTCCCCATGCCCTGGGCAGCTCTTCCATCTGGCTCTTTCTGAGTTGTACATCTTGTAGTAATATCAGTGAAGTTTTCTCTGCATTCTGTGAGCCCTTCTAGCAAATTATCAAATCCATAAAGGGTGTACGTGTTAACTCCTGACTTTGTAGCCAAGTTGGGCAGAGATGGGTGGGTACCCTGGGCACCCAAAACTATGACTAACATCTGAAGTAAGAACACTCCTGTGGGAATGAGCCCTTGAACCTGCAGGGTCTGACACTGATTCTGGGTAGTTAGTGTCTGAACCACATTAAATTACAGGCCCCCCAGCTGGTGTTCGTAGAGTTGTAGGACTGGTTTTTGGTATGGAAAGAGCACACACATTTGGTGTCAGAAGTGGTGTGTGAGTAAATCTAGTTCATATTTACTATTTGTATCCCTGTAATAGCAGAAAAAATAGTAAAAACACAAACAGTGCACACTGATTTCCAAATTTCCTTTTCTCCCATTGGACAGATATTATACTTGCTGTAGCAGCCAAGTAACTTTACATTTACTCTTCCCTGGTGTATGTAAAACATGCTACAGGATTTAGTCATGCAAATACACAGGACAAGAGTCCTGAATTTGCAAACATTTCAAATGACAGAAGTAGGGGATAAAGGCACCAAACCATGATATTTCTACATTCATGATGTCATTGCAACATTTAGAACACTCACACAGATTTTTAAAAAGAGTTATAGTTAAGAGTCCATTTCTAAAAAGACACAGGTGTTGAAATTTCAAATAGCTGGTTCTCGTAAAGAACTTAGTACACAGGGAACCCTTACAATGACAACTGCCTTTTCTCTGGTCACTAAAATATCTAATCCTACTTCTGTTCAAATGTTATAATATCAGCATCTTTTCAGTATTAATTTTTGCCAGCTTACATAAAATGCAGGGAATTTGTTTCATGCTATAAACAGAAGATGTAAGTTAATCAACATATGTCTTAGAATCTTTAAAGATCATTTAAAAGCTTATTTCTGTCTTAAAACAAATTATTACAGTTATAAACTATCAGATACACATACACATTTGTTTGCAACTTCCACTTTTCATTTTTTCCCTAATAAAATAAGGTGGTGTGAATGTCATATTCTGATAAACTGTCTTCCCATGCTCATCCTATTTGCATAGGAATACGAATTCCTGGTAGGTGTCAAATGAGTCTTTGTTATAAAGATGAGAATGTAAATTAATGTGAGTCTCTGTGATTTTGGAATAGGAACCAAATACTGACTGCTAAGAGTTATGAATATTTATCAGTTGCTGTTATTAAAAAGACTTGTTTTTCCTCTCAGAGTTTCTGAGTAAACAATTTAAAAATGTTACTCCATATGTCAGTGTTTTCTGAAAACAGTACAAACCTTCTTTTTTATCTTCTGGAGTAATCTTCACTTTCGTATCTGTTATATCTTTGAATGAGGCCAGAAAAAGTACCACATCTCCTTTTTCATTCTTTATAGGAACAATATCCAATAGGCACCAAAACGGAGACCCTGTAACAGTAATAAAAATACAAATCAATCACTGCCTTGAGTTTTCTATGAAAACCTCACTTATTAGTAATACAGTTAATAAAGTCCTTACTGTTTCTTTCTATCCCACGACTGCCCCAAAATTTTAACAATGTCAGTTTTTAGATTCCATAAATGTCTAGACCATATGCATCTCTCTTCATTTTCAAATGAAATGCTTTCTCTGAAAATAAGGCAGTATTTTAAACAAAAACTCTTGTCTGTGCTGAGATATTTCTGTTTATGTCATTCAAATTGTATGTCTTTTTTGAAATTGTTGATGTTGAAGCATTCCATTTTATGCAGCATTGTCCCTTCCCACCCCCAGCACACACTGGTGGCTAAATAAAGACCTTTGTTTGGTATGAGTTTGTTAGAGGTTTATTTAGTCAGTTTAAAAAATCAATGACTGTCTACCAGAATGGCAAAAATAAAAAAGATGGAAAATACCTAGTTTGGGGAGCATGCACAGTTATTTGAACTCTCCTGCATTGCTGGCTGGTTGCAAATTAGTATATATACTTTAAAAAACTGTTCGGCAGTACTAAGCCATAGCCTCATCATATCAAGTTATTACAATATCATTGGTTATATTCTCCATGTTGTGCTTCCACTCCTGTGAAAATTTATTTTAAAATTGATATTTTGTACCTCTTTCTACCCTTCACCTATTCCACCCATCTTCCATAATCAAGTTCAATTCTCTTTGGTAACCAGCAGTCTGTTGTCAGTATTTAAGGGTCTATTTCTTTTTTTGTTTGTTTTATTTTTTAGATACCACATATAAGTGAAATCAGAAGGTATTTGTTTTTCTCTGACTTATTTCACTTAGCATGGTAATGCTAGGAGCATTTAGCAATGTACATAATTATTGAATCACCATGTTGTACATTTGAAACCAACATAATATTGTCTATCAACTACATTCCAATAGAAAAGATTAGACTCATGATACAACACTATACAGTAATGTGAATGAATGACATATAACAATTGACAATTAAAAGGATGAACAGTGCTAACAAAATGTTGAGCAAAAACACAGACACAAATGAGTCAATTGCATTTGCATTAAGTACAAAAATAGACAGAAACAGATCTATGTAGTTAGAAGTTAGGTTGGCAGTTACTTTTGGGAGAGTGTGATAGGAAGGGGACACAGGTCCGGAAGTTTTGGGAGTCTGGTCAAGTTTTGTCTTACATAGTAATGTTTACATAGTGATGTTCAGTTTTTGAAAACTCACCAAACTCTGTACATAGGCAATGTGTGTGTTTCAGTATGGATGTTTTATTTCAAGAACATATTTTAAAAAGCAATAATCAAGTTCAATTCTATTTTTTGAGGAAAAGAACCATGAGAAATAACATTCATAGACTCGTTAAAAATTAAGGCTTATATTTTGAAATTATATACATTTAAAACTGTATTAAAATTTCTGTACTAGATTTCTGAGCAAAAAGCATTTCTGGGCAGAAAAAAACTGAAAATTGTGAATGTTACTGCCTAAAAGCTAAACTATTAATCTATTCACATTATAATGTTCCTTCATTTTTCTTTTAATGGGGAAAAAGAACTTTAACACTGGGAAGTTCCATCTTATTTGGGAATTGATTTCAAAGATGGTTATTAGACAAAAATACCAGAATCAGAAATATACTTGATATTTTAATTTGTTTTGTATATACTGTATTAGATATCACAATTTCTAAGATAGCTGATATATCCAACCAGCCTTGAAATCTATACTTTTCTTTTCAGTTAAGCACCAGATAAAGGCAGTTGATTTGTATTTAGGGGCCATTTGACATAAAAATCATATTTTATTATAGGTACTGTTGTATTTTTTGAAGAGTATGGTCAAATACACATGCAATAAATGTGTGTATAATGTGCTTCTATTATATAAAGTGTGCATGGACTATGTGCCTGTCCCCCCACATCTTCCTAATAGTTTCAGAGTCATGATTTCCTCCTTGTTCTTTTGATTCTGACCTGTGGTTTCTTTCCATTCATTTTCCAAATACCTATGCCCTAGAAATCTCACTTCAGTATCCCATCACCAGGCTCCAGGAGACCTGAGGTCTAACCATAGCTCCACTCTTAACTAGTCATGTGACCATAGGGAAGTCAGCTAACCTCTTTAGAACCTGGTTCCCTCAGTTGTAATGTCCTCACATCCTTCATCCCAGTGATGGATATAGTGTTTCAAAAACCATGAGACAATGAATCAGTTCTACTGTCTATGATTAATGGAGAAACCTCATAAATAAATTATATTCCTGGCCAAACAGAATATTCATACCTGAATGGTTCTTATATCAAATTTTTTCTATGGTCACCATTTCAAGCTGGGAGCTTTTTCACTAATGCTGTAGCTACGGTAGTAACATAAACAACCATCAGATCAACCTGTCAATCAGACCCTAGAAATAGTAAGTGGGGACATGGAGGATGGTTAAGAATTTGATATTAAAAAAGAAAAGAATTCGATATTTTGGTTCACATTTTGGAGCATGTCTCCGTCAAACACTTTGTGAGAACATCACTGAAATCTGAACAGAGACTATTAATTTTCCTGAAAATCCACTTTATCTCTGCACTCAGAGAAGCAACATCATTGTCTCCACAGAGCCTTTGCACAGGTGTACCAATGCATTTTCAAGGGAGGCAAAAGCACAAAATGACATGAAAGCCATGAAAATAGTTGCCAACACAATATCCTCTGATCAGCCCTTGACACACAGCATCATTTCACTTCATGTTCTAGGAGAGTTGAAAGAACACTTTGCCTTTTAAATAACAATGAGATGTGATCTCTGGCATTTATAAATTCAATGAAACTTCATTAATATGGCTCCCTCTAAATTCAAATTTTGTAAACATTTGGCATGGACTAGGTGGATGTCTGCCTTCCCACTGCATATATGACAAATAATTGTACAAAGGCACCAGGCTAGCAGACATATAGGTTTGTTTTCTTCCTCTCCTCTTTCCTCCTTCCTTCCCTTTCTTCTCTCAACTTCTTCAAATTTGTCCACACCAACTACCTTTCAAATATGGCCTTGGGTACCTCTAAAGTTAGAAAGCAAAGAATATGCCACTTGCTTCTTCCTCCAGAAAAAGGGCTATCCTCTTACTGGCAGATGCCAGAACATACCAATCAGGTTCAAAGCAAAACCCTTCACACTTAATTTGCTCACTTCCCTTCCCTTAATATTCTTCCCTTCCCAGCATTCCACCCTGGCTCTCTGACAAAATCTTCAACCTCACTTAACTAGTCAGTCATTCAGAGCCATTCCCTAGGGTTGGCCTCTTCTTTTATCCATGGGCACAATGGTGATAAGGCAATGTCTTTCAATCAACAGCAATTTAGTCTTATACAATAAATGGGGTTAAGGTGGGAGGCAGCAAATCCCTCAGCCTCAGATCCAGAGATGTGCAGGATTCTTTTAAGCAGTTAGAGGACAGAAATCCGGTATCAATTTTAACTCCTTCTGTATATACCAGCAGTAATTACCATGTGGGTTGGGGAGTGCCAGAACATGAAGCTCTGCCAGGATTTAAGCTAATAACACCTTTAATTTCCATGAATAAATACAATTCATGGAGAGAAAATAGGGTTTATACCCTATATGGTAAAATGTATTTTTGGAATTGCATAAGTAATCACACAGAGTTTAAATCTGGTGGGACGTCCTAGGTCTCCATTTTGGTATTTTCTTTTTCTTCACTGGGAAACAAGGGTGTAGGAGAATTTGACTTGCTAATATTTACAACTGTTAGAAGATGTGTATGCTTCCCATACCCTGAAAAGATTATATTTTGCAATAAGCAAGAATTAATGGTAAGGTTTCCAGAATGAGTTCATGGCTTAATAACTCAATACAAGAAGGTACAGACATAAAGAAAATTGAATTATGAGTTCTTCCCTTTAATGACTATGCTGTCATGATGAGATACAATTGTTTCCTGATGTCACACAGCATCAGAGAGTGGGGTGTGACACTTTGCATGTCCTCTTCCACTAAGCAGGATTTGGGTTGGATTTTTAATGATAAACATGTGTGACCTTAGTTTCTGAAATGAAGACAAATATAATATCCTGAGTGTTAAGAGCATCAATATCATGTGACCTAAACATGTCCAGGGGCTCCTCAGGTTTGTCATTAAGTCTGATGAGTCTTGTTCTCCACAACTATTGTCTTAGTTCTACTTACTCAATGAAGTGGTGACAGGTTTGCTAGTTTTTAGAAATTAATCCAGGGGATACATTTTGGGGTGGGGTGAACAAGACTTGCCGACGGCAGCTGAGATGGGCCATGGGCAGCCACGGGACTTCCAGCGGATGCACACGGAGTCCCTGATCACCCCTCATCTGGACCACATCTGCTTCTCCCCTGTTCTGGCCTTTATCATCACTCGCTGGCCCTTCAAAAGAGTTCTCCCTGCCTTAGTTTTCTTCCTGTGCTGCTCCCAATCAACTGTGAGAATGTAGGATTCTGACTAAAAACCCCCGATGGCTTTTCACTGATTGCCTAAAGCATTAGCACAACCTTCCTGACTCTTCATCAATATGGAAGCTTTATTTTCAAGGGGCTAGAAAGGAAAACAGGAGTGGGATGGACAGTGTAGAGGCGAACTGAAAAAGAGGGGGAAGTCCTCTGTCGTATCCAGGGCTGCGTGGGACACAAACCCCTACAACAGCCTCACCCACTCGTCTTGGTGCTTGTATGGTACTGAGGGATGAAAGCATGACTCTGATAAAATATTAGGCAAAGTCTTCATGATGTGCAGGGAACACCTCTTCCAAACACCATCCATCTATAGTGCAGCCTACACTATACATGTTGCAAATTTTTGCTCAATCCCCATTGAATTTTCCTGAGTGGACACCCCTTCTCCAGATTCTCAGGACACTAGGAAACCAAAATAAAGGCCGCTGGGGCCCTGGCACCCTGAGTGGCCACGGAGAGCAGAGTCG